TAAACAATTGATATAGTTGTTTTAAAAAGCAATTTAAAGCTGGTGTTGTACACATCGAAGCTTTCTGTAAACACATTACTTTAAAATTTTCTTTGCTAACGTGTTAATGATTGTTTCTCACAGGTATTTTGAATCAAAACTTAAAATTGATTTGAACCCCGCTAAAAAAATTAAAATATATTAAAATATGAAATCAATAAAAAATAATCAAATATTTTGCTACAAGGACTTCCAACAAAGACTACAACACGTAACACTAAAAACACTAACGCTCCAAACGAAATTTTTAGTCAACATGCTTAAAATCCGTTTATGTTTGACGGCCTCATGTGACCTTATTCTCATAATTAACCCTAAAATCGTGTAGAACCTAAGGTAAATATTTTAATATAAAGAATTATCATGTACATTGTAAACAAAGGCTATATTCGCGCGGGGCCGACTATGTAATACCCTACAACACCATAATATAGTGGGAAAACTCCTTAGGTCCAAACACATTTTAGTCGATTATTTGAAATAATGCTATACTGTCCTGCACATACGTTGCCTTTGTTTTTTAACCGGGGCTATTTTCCTTACATTTAGAGTTTATGCCGTACTGATATACTTCTGAGCTGTCCTATACCCTAACTTAATGCAAAATTCCGTTTCCATTGGTTTTTAGTTGTGATCTGTAGAGCCTCTTCAAGATCGGGATAGTTTTAATTTATGGTCCATTTGTTCTCCTAAATATATATATTGAAACACAATAGGCTTCAGTTCTAACCCTAATTCGATCCACCTGCTAATCGATAATTTTCACTTGAATATAATATAGTGTTATAAGGTGAAAAAATATTACCAAACCTAAAATTAAATATTATAGTCTAGTGTGAAAAAATCGCATGCGATTAAAAAAATATGACAAAAATATAAAAAATCACTTTTTTACAAGAAGCCATTCTGAATTTGTGAGAATTGTCAGAATCAGTCCAGTCGTTCTTGAGATATAAGCGGTCTAAGTAAAATCCCCTTTATTATGTAGGAGGTACATATTTTGCTTTATATGCGATATCTTGGATATGAGCATCAAAGTAACGGTCAGAATGTAACAGAACATTTTTGGCCCAATCAAACTTATATTAACAGGGTAAAAAATGCATGAGCTTGTGGATCCACTATTCTTGGATGTTTGACAAATTTTTCTTATCAAACATAAAGTGAATTTGGAGATATGCAATATCGGTCCAATCCTTCTACTACATATGACTCAAAACGTCAATTTTTTTAATGATAATAAATTACCTAATTAAATGGATTTATTTCAAATCCTAATACGAGGTTATATGCCACATCACGTGAGAAAATTGGCCCACTCCATCAGGTACCTTCCCCACAAACGGTCAATATTTGGAACAATCATAATTTTTTTTAAATGCGATGTAAGCATTCGATTCCTTCGTCACTTCGTTCAATCCAATATTTCCACAAACACAAGATCTGGTGAGAAGATGGGACTACTCCTTCTGGTACCAGCGCCACAACGGGTTTTGATTAATTATAACCCTTATAACATGCGAATAAGGTTAGTGATTTTTTGAGATTTTGTATATCTCAATATGGTTTATTGGTCGACCCATTCTAGTACCTCCTCACACAACGTCAAAATTTTTAATAATTATAACTCTCCATGGTAAAGTTAAGAAGGTTAAGTCATTTCAAATAAGCATACCCATCTCTGCATTTTCTGTAATTTACCTTGTCAAATTTCACTGTATAAAAATTAGGTTTCCATCTCTGATTTGAGTATTTACAATGGATTTTTTAAATACATATTTTGACAATGAGATGTTGTCAAAAGAATAATTTAAAAAAAAAAATATATAAACATCTGTTTGCATGACCTTACCATGGTAGAATTAAGAAGGTAAAGTCATGTAACCATTGTATACACAGAGATGGGACAGAGATGGGAACTGTTTTTTATGCATTGAAATTTGACAAGGTAAATTACAGAAATGCAGAGCTGGGAATGCTAATTTGAAATGAGGTTACCTTTATTTCATTGTACCATTGACTTTGCCTCTCATAAAATGCAGAATAATTCTTCTACATTTAGTTTAACTTCAAACAATGCAATGTCGGAAACAGGTCAACATTTTGTATAATTGTAACTCCCATAGCATGAGAAAATATTTCCCACTTCTCTTCAAAGTTTGAACACTGCAATATACTAACATTAGATTTAGTATAACGATGGTATTTGCAGGTCTAATGTATATGGTACTTTTTACGAAGGACATATGTCAATTATTGTTCAAATGCTTAGGGCATATATCTTTAACTTTTTTGTACCCTCAGCCATATTTCTACACAGGGAGATGGGCAATATGGGTTCACCCCACACATTTTACCTTTAAGAGTAATTAAGGATCATACAAGTTTTTGGAAATCTTAATATTTTTTTCATCGCTAGCTCAGGTGTAAAACAGAACAACATCAATCCAATCCATGAAGTGCCTCAACAACAAAGCGTCAAAATTTTGAATTATTATAACAAGTTTGCACATTTTAATATTTGAACCCACACAATATGTGTTATGAATAACGGACCACTCCTTCTGGTACCTTCCCCACAAAGGGACAATATTTTAAATAACCATGGAGCTCGTAAAACTCGAAATGATCATCCGATTCTTTTCAAACCCGACACATTCTAATATTTCCCTTAACAAAAGGTCTGGTGTGAGGATGATATGGTATATCGGCTTAATCCTTCTGGTACCTCCCCCACAACGGGTTACAATTTTTCCTTCAAATTTAAAATTTTACGCTATAGATATCTGATACCTCCCCACAAAGGCTCACGATTTTCAATGATAATATGTCTTAAAACTTTCGAAACAAATCAATTATTCTCATTAAATTGGAAATAAATATTAAATGTTTTTTTCCTTAATTTTGACTATTCAAACATTTTCATTAGTATGAAGGGAAATATTTCGCTTCACTTCAACATTTTCTAAAAACTATCACATATCTGATATAAAGTGAAGAAAGTAGTCGACTTAGTCCAAATCTGGCACGTTGCAATATTTACATAAGACCTTCAGCAGATACGAAATGGACAATGTTGGCCCATTCCTTCGGAACCTTCCTCATAAAGGGTTAACAGTTTGAATAGTCACAACGCAATTACGAAATAAACGAACATTAGCTGAATGTAAACATCTGTAGGCAAACCTGACTGTAAGTTTTTAACTTATTTTTAGAAAGACATAAAATGGTAAGGACATGACAAAATGCATTTTGAGGAAATGGTTTGGCTATAAAATGTAGAGGAACAGTCCATTACAGAGGCATGTTAATAGTAACAAGTAAAAAAACAGGAAAGTTCGGCCGGACTGAACTTTTAATACCCTCCACGTCCAAAAACTATCACTTAAAAGAAACCCGTTATATGGGGACTATGCGAAGACGTGACTGTTGGCTGTAGTAGCCATTACGTACTTCAAATACGAAATTTGTAACAATTCCGGTACATAATATCGCAAAAATCATTAAAAAAGGAATATCGGAAAGGCACCGTTATATGGGGAGCATACGAAGACGAAGACTTAACCTGCATACTGGGGAAATATGTATGTATGCAAAATTTTAGCCTTCTATCTCAATTCACTCGAATGATAGCCTGATTACAACAGACAGACGGACAGACACACACAGAATTTTACACTGATCCAGAATATATAAACTTTGTACGGTCAATCATGAATATTTGGAGGAGTTACAAACGGAATGAATATGCTAATATACCCTCCATAAAATGGTGGATTGTATAAAAATACAATTATAGAACAAACAACCTATACAGAACACGAAAATCTAAAGGTATCTTTGCATGAACCATCATAGGTATCATATCAAGTCCTGTGCAGAATTTCAAAGCTCTATCTTTAACAATAATATCGAGACAAACGGATGAAAGGACAAGGGCGAAGCTTTCTTGGAAGTTTACGCTGATCGTAGGCATACATATGTACTTTATGGGGTATCCGACGAGGTGTGGAAGTTATAATTAAACAAAGTTTCATTACGCTTAACCTTTGTTAGTATTTCTGAATAAGTGGTTACAAGCCTTTGAAATAATAATTTAAAAAAAAAATATAAAATACGTTCTGCATTTGAAGTGTCTCCTTAGAAGAAATTAATTTTCAAGGCAGTCAATTCTCTGGGTCTAAGAAAGTAGAGAGAAACCTTAACAAGACATTTAAAGTAAAAAGCTTCTGCTACACTTTATTATTCCAATTCAAATGAAAAATATTCACTGCTAATAGTTTCGCATTGTCCAATAACCTCACCAAGACAGCAATTCAACCATAAATGCAAATCTTTTGAAGGAAATTAAAAATAACACAATTAAAAAATACAAACGAGCTACATTTAAAAATAGAAATTTAATTAAAACAATTTGTACGAAAACACACTTCCATGGAAATTATTTCAAAAATAATATTCTTCAACAAAACACACATACACACCCACACACAAAAACACACCCAAGTACATGCGAACCTAAGCTATAGACACAAGCATTTTACTAAAACTAAAAACATGTGAAAAATTCCCATAAATCAAAGAAAATATTATGGAATTTTTCCACCTCAAGGCAAATTTGCTGAAAATGGGTCTGAAAATATTTTATAGCCCAACCTCCCCGCACAAACATTTCAGCCAAGAAATTCAGGCAACATGCCAAAATCAACAAAATGCGAGTAAAAAAAAACTAACAAACTAAACTGAATTACTTAAACAATAGGGCCCATAGAAGAAACAACAACACCAACAAGGTCATAAACTATTTTGATTGAATTTTAAACACTGCAGTAAACAGGTATGTCACCACCCTTCAAAATTGACACGAAAAGTAGGGGAGGCATTCCGCTGGCCTCCCTTTCTTTTTGTATTTGGAGAAGAAAGTAATTGGATAATAATTTGTCCCTTTTTCCCACGGCCAGGTGATATCAGCAAAAGTAGTGCGGTTTTCAAATGGATCCTGGAGCAAAAGGCCGACGAGAGTATTGAGCTAATCGATCGTGAGACCCTGTTCGAATACATCAACACCAAAGACTTTTTGGCCGTAGTCTTCTGTAAGTATAGCCTTTGGAATTCCTCAAACTCTTTTAACCACTGTTTTATATGATGGCTATTTTTCAGTCTTTTTTTTTGTGCAAAATCAAAAACAAAATAATAAACTGAACTAAGGTTCGCCTAAACAAGACATCATACGAATACAACAACTCTCTTTTTTAACAAAAAATAATTAAAAAAAAAAACTCTACTAAAAATCAAAAGAACTGTAACTGCCTCTTCTTGATTTTATCTATCCAACACTCTTCATATGTTTCTCTCTCTGTTTTTCTCAAAAATAATCGTTAGGTTTATAGCAATAATTTTCGAATTATTAATAGAAATAGGCAATAATCTATTTAATTTTTTAAATATTTAAAAAAAAAATAACAATTTGTGTTTCATTTTTCATTTCAGACAAAGAAGACGATCCGGATTCTCCGCGTGTTTTGCGTCACATTGAACTGATCGATGACGAGGCCACAGAGTATGGCATTCAAATTGTCAAATGCCACGACAAGCTAATGGCCAAGAAATATGGTTTCCGTAATCCCCCTGGTATTACGTACTTCCGCAAGACCAAATACATTAACTATGACGGCGACATCGATGATGAGGAGGAGATTTTGGATTGGTTAACTAGCCCTGCCAACATGGAAATGACAGATCACATTGAACAAGTCAATCGTAAAATGTTTGAGAAAATCCGCAAGGCTTCGGATTATTTGGCCGTTATCTTTTGTAAGTATTGGGGATAAGAGAAAATGGGGTAGGGGGGGACTTTTTTTCTATTTATTTAAAGTTAAAACAAATTTGATTTCGAAAATTTATGGAATTTATAACAAAAGGCTAGAGGTAATGTAAACAATCTACCTTCAGCCTTAACACTGGGTTGAAAAAAATGGGTTACTCCTTGAAAAAACAACTTTTTGGGTGATGATAAATGACAAAGAAATCGGCACTCAGATCATGAGTCGAATGTTCCTCCACAGCTCGAGAAGGAAAGTAGCATAAAAGGTTTTCGATCGGTTAATTTACTTTCTCCTCTTCACAGAGACCACTTTAGAATTATCCCCTTTGCATGTTCATGAATGGATATTGCAGTTGCCTTTTGATTTATTCATACCTAATAGGGACTGAGTTCTTCGTAAGAAGATATCTGGCCAGATTGGCCCCTTGCCTCTTTGTACCGGCACATCGGTTTTCTCATTTCCATCAATACTAAAGCGAACAGGTACTTAACAAAGCCAGAGAGTAGAGTACAGATTTCCCAGACCTGCTCTACACCTCAGGACTGCATCGGAATTGGTTGTGGAAAATCAATAGTTTTAAGAGCCGCTTGACTATCCACACAAATCGTCACCATAGTTTCAAATTATTTCATGATCGCACAGATCTCTGCCAGAAAAACACTGCAACTTACAAGAGAAGGTCATTCCTAAATGCTCTCCGAAGACTCCGGCTCGGTCAGTAGAATGGTACATTTTTCCATACCCTTTCACTATACAAAACCAAAGATCCCCGGGGTGAATTTAGTACCATTCCATATCACGGAAAAAGTTAATACCATTTTCAAGTGGTAGTAGAGAAATTTCCATTTTGAAAACCAGTAAGGAATACACATATTTAATATCGATATTTGGCTTTAGAGCAGTTATAGTTTGGTTTCAGAGAGAACTAATATGTAGGAGGCATATCCAATTCTGAATCGATTTTCACTAAATTTGACGGAGACATTTTAATCTTTTATACGAATAATATTGCTGTAGAGTACATAATATCACTTCAAGAAGGAGTTTCACAAAAATGGAAACCTACATCCCGAAATTTACTCCATTTGAGCTGATATTAGCCATTATTTGCACAATAAACCTGATCGGATTAGGGATATATATGGGAGCTATATCTAAATCTGAGCCGATCTTAATAAAATCTGATAGAGGTATTTCTAGGTTATATCTGATATCTGATACCAAATATTATTCGTATGGAATGTTAATTACGCATTTGATCGGACGAAACATATAAATGGGAGCTATAGCTGAATCGATTTTCAACAAATTTGATGTATTCGCTTCTAGACTAAATTCGTTCGAATGTGTCAAAATTGAGGTCATTTGGACTGATATTGGTCATTTGCTACACAAATAACCCAAAATCGATTGAAGATGAAGCTACATCCAAATCAAAACCGATCTTGATAAAATTTGGCAGATGTATTTCTGGGATGTATCTGATATCTGGTACCAAATATTATTCTTGTGGAGTGTATATTACGCATTTGAGGGATTTTAACACCAAATCGGATGAAACATATATATAGGAGCTATAGCTATATCTGAACCGATTTTCACAAAATTTGATGTACTTGCTTTTAGACTAAATTCGGTCGAATTTGCCAAATTTCAGGACATTTGGACTTAAATTGGCCATTTGCTGCACAAACAACTATATCCAAATCTGAACCGATCTTGATAAAATTTGGCAGATGTATTTCTGGGATGTATCTGATTGTTGTCGAATGCATATTACGAATGTGAGGAAATAAAACACTAAATCGGATGAAATCGGATAGGAGCTATAGCTATATCTAAACCGATTTTCACAAAATTTGATGTACTTGCTTCTAGACTGAATTCAGTCGAATGTGCCAAAATGCAGGTCATTTGGACTGATATTGCCCATTTGGTGCGCAATTAATCCTAAATTGGTTGAAGTTATATATGGGAGTTATATCTAAATCTGATCCGATTATCACCAATTTCAATAGGGTTCGGGCACCATTGGAAAGCTTGTTTTTTTTGTTGTTGTTTTTTTTTTTTTTTTTTTAAAGAATATCTTTTGCGGAACACGTATTTTTGGATGGTTCTGTTAACTTTAACAGAGCTCTGTTAACTGTAATGTTAACAAAGTTGATTTATATCTCTGCTAGTTAAATTCGAATTTATCGTGATGGACATCTATTTTAGTAGAAAATTTCCAAGATCAACGTCTTATCTGAACCCACATACTAATGGTGACCCTCCTCCGGTACCTCTCACACAAAGGGTCAAAATTTCGAATAATCATAACCTTTAATAAATGTGATTTTCTTCAAAGTTTGCAATTTTAAACTTTTATCAGTACAAGATCTAGAGCAAAGATGGACTATATCGATCGACTCCCTTTGGTACCAAAGTCCTCAAAGGCTCAATCTTTTGAGAAAAAAGCGATACAAGTACTTGATATAGTTAAAAGATTGAACATAGTAATATTTATGTAAGTTTTATGTACGGAAAATGACAACACTGGAGGCAAAAAAATTGAATAAAAATGCCACTCGTAATATGTGAGATCTATGTACGATTTTTTCGAACTCAACAAATCCTAGAATTTTTACCTACAATGAAATTGGAATATATTTTGGCCGCTCTCTTTGGTACCTCCAATTACCTTCAAAAAGTTTCTGAGAAAAAAAAATTAAAGTATCATTTTGTGCGAAGGGAGAACCCAAGTTTGTTCAAAATAGGCACATCGTAATATGGCAGGATCGGAAGTGGGCAATATTGGTCCATATCGGACGGTCGGACGGACGGACATGCATAAATCGACTAAGAATGTGATTCTATGCAGATATCAAAAGGAACTATCTGGTTTCATCTTGCCCGTTACAAACAAATGCACAAAGACATAATACCCTGACAACCTTGTGGTGCAGGGTATAGAAATTTATTTAAAATTTGACAGACAGAACTTTTCATTTATCGTTCTACATTTTTTCAGAAGATTCTTATAACGGCTTAATTTGGAATCTGAAACTTTCAAGGGTTATTTTGAAGTTTGTTGTCCCATTGTAAGATCGTCACTTAATAATATTGGAGGTCTCGTCTCCTCTTAATTTTTAATAAAAAAAATTATTTTTCAAAAAATATAAAGATTTTGTAGGCTCTCATTTCTCTCTCACATATCTCTTATCGCTAAATTTCAAAACCAAATTGTTTTCTGTTTTCTAGACAGCGATGATTGCAAGCAGTGTCCCCGTGTTTTGGCCGAGGTGGAACACATTGACGATGAGGCAGATAAGGCCGGCATTGATTTTGTTAAAATCGATGACAAACAAATGGCCAAGGAATTGGGAGTGTTTGCCCTGCCAGCCATTGTCTTCTTTAAGCCATCGTCCAAGGAACCAGTGATATACGCCGGTATGTGGGACACAAAACATGAATCAATTCCACTCCCAACATCCATCATCCGCCACAACATATTTTTCACATAAAACCCTTTCGAATAATTTATTGTTTGCAGGAGATCTTTATGAAGAAGAACAGATCCTCTCATGGTTGCTTACGCAAAAGGACCCGGGTGGAGATGTTATCGAAGATCTTGAAGGCGACAGACTGGTTAACCTGATCGAGGAGTCCGGTTCGATTGCCGTGTATTTCTGTAAGTTTTCCTTCAAACGATTTTCGTTGTCATCGATTAGCAAAGAGTAGCTGTCTCTTTGTGCGTTCCACAGTTACTTGTGACGTTGTCATGTTGTAATCATTTTGGTAATGGAGGAAATGGAAAAACGATATTTTCTAAAATTAATTTTCTGGGGGCTAATTGCCTTCCTAATTGGCTAATTAAAAGATTTCCAGTGGGCGTTTTCCAGTCTCTTTCCGTTATACTTTTGCGCAAAAGGGTTACAACTGACTTTGTGTGATGTAACAAAACCAAGAAAAAAAAAACAAAACAAGAAAACTAATATCCACAACCACAACAACAATTCAATAATACTTTTTAACAACAATAAAACAAGAACAACAAACTTTTGTATTAATACTATTAACCATAAACTTCTTAGAAGTAGTAGAAGAGGAAGAAAAACAGAAACATAAGTTTCTTCCCAATCAGCTGATGAAGAAAAAAAGAAGATGAGGAAGAAGAAGTAAATAAAACACGAAAAGCTGCTGGCGAATCTTCAATAATTGTCGTGCCATAACAAATTTAGTGTGACTAACCCAAGTAGCAACTGTGATCCCCCGAAACTGTTTTCCGTTTCTTGTTTTTCTTTATTTTTTAAAGCTTTGAAAGTCTATAAAAGCAAAAAATTTCTTATTTTATTTTTCAAATGAAAAAAACAAAACACCAAAACATCAAAACTTAAAACTCGAAACTGTTACAAAACCAAACTCTACCGTCATTTACTGAAAACTCGACCACAACATAAACAACCGAACAAAACTTTCTGCCACCACCACCACCACTACTCGATTTCCCAACAAAAACCAATACAACAACACGACATCACCGTAATGGTCAACCAACAACAACAACCAAACAGGGAATAAAACCCAATGCGACATCTGCAACTCGAAGGCGGCACGCAAGGCTCGCCTCAAAAAGGAAAAGGAGCAGCAACAACAGGATCCAGGTGCGGGAGCAGCAGCCGCATTTGGTGGCGACGCCACAGAGGGTGGAGAGGCAGGAGAAGGTGCAGCGGAAGGTGCACAGCCGGCGGCATCCTCCACCCCAAGCAGCTCTAAACATCATGAAGACGGTACAAAAAAAAAACAAAAACAAGAAAAAAAAGTTCCAAACAACAAACACCATGAAAATGGTCTTGAACTTTGTCGTTGTTGTCAAAGATGACGATGACGACGACGACGAGGAGGAGGATGATTATGATGTTGTTGTTAAGTGAAGTTTTCATGTTATGTGGAATGAAAGCCAAACCAAACCAAGTCAGCCCAGCAACCAACCAACCAAGCAACCATTCCAGTTCAGTTCAGTTCAACCCACATCATGTGCCTGTTGTATTATCCCCTCAAGTTAAACTAGTGTAAAAGAAAGCCAAAGAACCCTAACACACAGTCAACACCCATCAGCCCCCCTCCCACACACACACAAACACATATGGCCAAGTGAAAATCCAAGCATTTAATCTACCCCCTCCCCCCTTTGGACTTTGTACAGAAACCTGCAACTGGTATTTTCCGCCATCTAATGTCCTTTTGTAAACCAACCTGGAGATACATATACCCCATACACACAGACATACTTAGAATACAACACATCCCCATCTGTAGAACATCCAACAACAACCGTTAGTTATGCTCTGCTGTGAATCCACCAAAAAAAGACAGAACCGAACAAACAAGATACCATCCAATGTCCTTTTGAGCGCCCACCTATACAAACATCACTTCAAGACATATTCTTGTAGTGCTCTCTATCGTCCTCCCCTCCGTTGCATCGCGTTGTTTAGAAAACATAAACATAAATCTGCCCCTCGTTGACATGACCCAAATATCCACTTCCACCGCCAGCCAAATTCACTACAACACATCTGTAGACCCGTTGACCATCATCTATCTGCATCGAGTTTAACCCTTTGGAGTTTGTAAATCAAAACATTTAATTGCTCGAGGATTGACAATGACGTTCTTAAATTTCCCAAAGGTATTTACTTGCCGTTTGAGAGAGAGAGAGAAAGTTTAAATATTCGAGAAGAAAATGTTACAAGTACAAATTTTGTTTTCACATTTTGGGCATTTTTTTATTCTTCAAAGAGAAAGCTGGGGAAATTATGACCCGTTTACGGAAGACTTGTCTGAAAATGTTCATATTTTTGTATGGAAGCAACAGTTAAGACTTTTTAATTAATTTCTTAAGGTAGGAAGTCTTGATAAAATTTAAATAATTCTTCAGAAAATCTGGGTCCTAGTACTATTGGAAAGAAGAGGAATATGGCTTCAAATGATCTCTCTTCTTGGTTTCTATCAAATGTATATACAGGGTTAGACAAAAAAACTGCAACAAAGTCAAACACCATTATTTTTACATTTTTTTTTTTAATTTTATTGAATGTAAACAACATATGTCGGAAATAGCATCAAATTTCAAAATAAGTTTAGATTTGTTCGAATTGGTCACCTTTTCCACAAATTATGGCCTTCAAACGGCCAATGAAACCGTCACACGCTGTCCGAAAGTTGCTCTGCGGTATTTTGGCCCATACCCGGCGAAGCACTTGCTTGAGGTGTTCGACACTTTGGTATTTTTTAGTGTCAACCTTGCTTTCCAAAATACTCCAGACACAATTGTCCAACGGATTGGTATCCGGAGATTTTGGTGGCCATTGTACGCTGGAAATGAAGCGAGGAACCTCATTTTGTAACCATTCTTGGGTAGCGCATGCTTAGTGCGATGGTGCTGAGTCCTGTTGGAATGTCCAATATCTGCGGCCAAAATGTTTGCGTGTCCCAGACTTTAATGCACCCTACAGAATATTTTCGCGATAATATTCGGCATTTATTCTGATGCCACAGTCGATTAATACGAGCGTAGAGCGACCATCAGCTGTAACTCTCTAGCTCTTTCGAGCCTATTTTCTTTCTGCTGCGGTGTAAGTTCTTGCACTTTTTGGATTTTCAATGGCTTTACACCGAGATAATTTTTAATATTTGCCGAATGGAATATTGCGATATGTTCATCTCACGAGCCCCACAAACTCCCACAAAAGTTGGTTTTTAAACGGATTTTTGAGGAGACCTCTGAGCTATAGAAATGTGATATTTTGAAGAACTTTTTGAGTTATACAAACTCCCACAAAATTGACTATTGGGGGAGATACTTTTAATATCCTGAACTATCCCACAAAAGCTGATTTTTGAGGGGAATTTTTAGAAAAATTCACCAACTTATCTAAACTTCCACAAATAGGGATTCTTAAAAGGATTTTTAAGAGAATCCCCAGAGCTGAAAAAATACTGCAAACTTCCAAAAATAGGGTTGTTTTAGGATTATTTCCAAAGGAACCCCTAGAGCTGAAACAATCTTGAAAACGTCGAATTTTTTAAGGGGTTTAAAAAATAATTCTCTGAGGCATATAAAATCCTGAAATAATGAATGATAGGATAGAGAAGGGATTTTAGGAGAATTCCGAGATGAATCTCCTAAGCTATATAAGCTCCCGTAAACTTGAATTTGTCAGAGGGTGTCCAGAGGAAAGAAGGCAAATATACTCCTGCAAAAGTAACGTTTTAGGCAGATTAATTGATGAATAGTGTGAGGTATTTAAACCCTTGAATGATTGATTTGTAGGAGACTTTATGAAGAATTCTCTGAGCTACATTAACATTCACCAACATGAATTTTAAGGAGATGTTTAGAAGCATTCCCCGAGCTATATGACCTCCTACAAAAGTGTATATTTAAGAGTTTCTTTTTAAGATTCCCGGAGCTATATAAACTCCTAAAAATAGGGATTTTAGTTTCAAGTGACATTCCGGAGACATTTTGAAGAATTCCCTGAGCTTTATAAACTCACACAAACTTGGGCTTTAGAACGGTTTTTTGCAGATTTTTCTGAACCTTCTTAATTAAAAAAGGATATTTAGGGCGATTTTTGAGAAATTCTGTGGGCTTTATTGAGGTGACTTTCCTAAGAACTTTTGGATCTATATATTCTACTGTATACCTGGATTTTAAGCAATTTTTTTTAGGAATTACATTTTAAAAATGGGAAGGGGAATTTCAGACGAAAGAGATCGGGAGATTGTTGAGATCGGGCTGATCTGTTAGAATAATTGAATAATTAGATTGAAAATTTTTCTGCATTATACTTTTTGCTCGAATGAGGCCTTACCAAAACTTGCTGCTAAATATAATTAGCTCCACAGAATCAGATCTTTATTGTGATCACTTTTAACTTCTAGTCAGTCAAGGCTAAATCACCTAAGATTGGTAGTATGGGGGATAACTTTAGAGTCATCTTGCTAGTCATAGCTTTGAAATAAAAGGAGATACAATGTCCAAATTTATATTTCTAGAACTTTTCCTTAACCTGACGTTCTTCTATTGCGATTACAGATTTTCTACTGAAGACAATTCAAAACCGACAGAACCCACTAATTTTTCTTTCCTTCTCAAGTACATGGGCCACATCGTTCAGAATTAGGACATAGAGTTTAGCTGAGAATACATAAAAGGTTAAGTCAGTCTTCGGAGAAGAACATAGGAAGGGTCAAAATCGAACTAAGTCAACCTAAAACTCCATTGTTCATCTACGAAAACGCCGCCGATGACTTAAGCCAGTCAGAAAAGCCTTTTATGTATTCTAACCGTTAGACAAATAGCATTCTGGATCCCTATAATTGCTATTTTTGAGCAGTGTTTATTACAACAGCGCCCGTGGGCACTTGGTAAGATGGGGAATGAAGTCTTGACGCTATTTTATGTTTGTAAATTTTTAAAATGACTTGACACCACTTTTTTATCGGAAGAGAGATAGGTTCTTTTACAACGCTCGTATTTGTGAAAAATACAAGGCTTCTCTAGTAATTGGATAACCCTGGTTTAAATGCAAAGATAGGAAAAAACTAACACGGGCCCTTTAGAAGGGTCCCGAAATGGTTACTTTTCAAAATATTTTTATATGTCACCCGAAAAAGGTATTTTTTGTTTATTGGACCTCAGAAACGTTTTCGAAATGACTTTCTGGGTATTTTTAGTATTGGGAGGGTAATACCCGATATCTGACAAGGACACCTACAAATTTAAAAAATATAAAACACAAATGTGTCAGGAAGAATCACTTATTTCAAATAAGTTCCTCCCACAAGACTCTCTCCCAATCTAGGCAAAATATGGACATATTGTAAAAAAGTAAAATTTTTTTGTTCCTAAAAATCTCACAGAAATTCAGTATCTTAAAATTCCTCAACAATTTAAATATCGATTTACAACACCTCCCAAAGGGGTTAAATGTGACCTTTTAACTCTCCTTTATTTTTGTTCTTAATTTTCTCGTGGCTATCGCCGCTCCCTTGTTGTTTCATTTTATTTTTGTGTGTTCTCCTTTTTTGTGTTTTTTTTTAGCTTTACTTTTCTTGTAAACAATGCATGTTTGGCTTTCAATGTTAATTAACCAGCAAAAGTTCTTTTGTCAAGTTGCCAAAATTTTGTTGGGCGAAAAGAATTTTATTATTTTTCTTGGAAAAATCCCCCCTCTCCTCACAGATACCGATGGCTGTGAACAGTGCACTAAAGTTTTGGAGGAGTTGGAGAATATCGATGATGATTGTGACAAGCATGGCATTACGTTTGTCAAGACCAAGGATTTCTCGGTGGCCGATGGTTATGGCGTGCATGATTACCCGGCCCTGGTGTACTTTGAAGGTGGCATACCAAATGTTTTTGAAGGTAAGATGGAAATTGAAATTGAATTTTGAGCTCAGGAATCAAACAGGAAATTGTTTTTCTCTCCTCTCACTTGGCAAACACAAACAGGCGAACTTGGCGAGGAAGAGGAAGTTTTGCAATGGCTTATAACACAAAAGACCGAGGACCGCATTGAGCTGATTACCCGTCAAATGTTGGAGACCATGGTTGAGGAGACACAATATTTGGCTGTGTATTTCTGTGAGTAGTCGCCTTACTTTTCTTACTTTCAGCAATTCATTAATGAAAATTTAAAAATAAATATAATTTTTGAACAATTTCATAAAAATCATTTGAATATTATTCCATTTGTGTTTTTTTTAAATAACGTTTACAAATTACACAAAATATGCACTTTTACACTACCCCCAAAACAACCACCCACCGCCCATCCATGCACCCACCTACCTTTACAACAAAAAATGTTTGTTGTGCGTAACTTAGTACCACCCGATCGTACTGATGGAAAACCACCTGCTTACTGCCGAAGTTTTTGTTCCCCCTTGCACCTACGCAATGCCAGTCATAGCAACAACAACAACAAGAACAACAACAGCACCTACACCAATAGCCAAAAATCCAAAACATTCCTCAAAAATTACATATCGCGCAAACAAAAACGTATCAAAAATCAAGGTATTCTTTGCAACTACAATAACAACAAAAAGAATAATTGAACGCATTAAACCGCAAACAAATGCGTTTCTATTACTGACTATCTGTCTTTCTGTCTGTCTGACAAAAAAACAACAACTCTTTTCTCTTTTTTTTAATTTGCTTGGTTTAAATTCTTATTTGGAAGACGAAAACCAACCTCTTTAAAAAAAAAACTCAAGCTAACCTTTTCGTGTCCTTGATATTAATCTCTTTTGGCGTCTTAACAAAATAAAGAATCGGTGGTTAATTTTGCATGTCTTTAGAAGAGCGAAGGGGTTCTGTGTATTGATGTCCTTGAAGGAGAGACATTTTAAATGAACTAATTTTTTTAAGGGAAAGTCGGAGGCATTTTATGACAAAAAAAATGATTTCAATTACGCCAAAGAAAAAGTTATTATTTACCAAAAAGGTGACAAAAGTAGGTCGGTCAAATGATGACCCTTCACCCCTCTAGGTATTTAATAGATGTGTTTGCTATAACACATATGGATAAAGTGGGACTTGGGTGATAGCAAGATAAAACATATATAAAGGCTATATACCTGAATCTGAACCGATGTTAAAAAATAGTTAGAGGTAGTTACAGATTAAATACCAAATCTTAATGGCATGTCTCTTACAGTTTTGGCACAGCTTAAGTCTAAAATTGGATGGACATATGTCTAGGAGACATATGTAAATATTGAATAAATCAGTGATATTAGACTAGATTTACGGCTTTAAAGAAGCATTCATGTTAAGCCGACTAAAAATATTTGGGAACGTAGCCGCATCTGATCTAATTTAAAACAAGTTTTACACATGTATTTTTAGGCTATATGTGATAGCTTGAAAATAACAGAGGGACGTATGCAGAATGTAGACCTGGGACTTGATTCTTGGCTTACATGGAAAAGTAATTTTTTCCCAGATTACTCGATCCGCCCCACCAGGTGGCTACTAAGTGCATTTCTGTGTACCCCTGACGAAATATAATAGTTACCGGAGGCATATTATGGCTTTGAGGAGGCCTAAATGTGAAATCGGATGAAACAAACAATGGTACCCATAGCTATTTCGAATCCGATTTGATCCTAAGTTTGTAGGGATACTATTTTTAAAATTGGGCCGATTTCCAAAAATATTGAAATTCCGGATATCGGATGATAACTTATAAGGGGATTATACCGGGACGTGTATAGACACTTATCTGATAGAGTATGTGGTGCCTGTAGCGAACTTCAATAAACTTGTCAAAATACCGAATGTCGGAAGATGTCGTTATATGAGGGATTTATAAGAATGTGGACCTGTGCAGGTAATTTTCTGTTCAAATACCAAATGTGAACTTCGAACACGAAATGAGAAACAATACTGGTTAAAATTCAAATACAAATCATATAAATATCGCCAAACCTGGGACCTCCATCGACAGTTCTTTGCAAGAATGTTTCATACATTCTGGAAACACAAATTGCCAATTTTCAGCAGATTACGATTTAAACTACGATTAAAACGCCCAAAATAGCTTAAATCAAAAATTCTACGAACCTAAAATTCTTCTGAGTAAAATTTTATCAACTAAACTTATTTCGTTAGAAAGCTAAAGTGAATTCCACAGAGGACAGACAAACAGACGTCCGAACATAACTAAATTGACGTAGAATTTTATGCTCATAAAGAATATAAACTTGAGCGTTTTAATGGATAGTTCGAGAAACTACAAATTGAATGACAAACTTGAAATATCCTCTGAATTAATGTGGAAGGTATAAAGGTGGCAGTAATTTTGAATGGGATTTTTATATTCTGTCAGCAGAACTCAAGCTACCAAGTTGTAGCAGTGTCAAAAATATCAAAATCCTGAAAATTGGGCGTAATTGCCATATGGAGGCTATTCCAAGAACTGGACTCACAATGAAAATGTTATGCTACATCCGCTACCTCTACATAGGGGTTTTGCATTTCAAAATATGTGGTTGGAAATTGGGCCTGTAACCTTCGAAATGCCCAATACCAAAAATGGCGCTACATGGAGAGTATACTGAACGTCGTTACCTTATTGAAATTCATCATTAAAATACTTAAACAAGTAAAAAAGTTGTAAGATCGGCCGGGCCGATCTTTGAATACCCTCCACCATTTGGGACGAATTTGGCAATTAAAACAATAAAATCTATTAAAATCTTAAAAATGCTGAATGTAGCTATTATATTAGGGTCTATACGACAACGTGGACCTGCATAGGCAACTTTTGTGATAAGCCATTACAATATTCAAATGCGAAACTTGAAAAAAAAATTGGTGAATAATGTCGCTTAAATCATCAAAATACCGAATATATGGAGGTACTATTATATGGGGGCTTCACCAAAACGTGGACCTGCACAGACAATTTTCTGTCATAGGTTGTAGTATCCATTACGAACTTCAAACATCAACAATTCCGGTGAAAAATGTCGCTAAAATCATCAAAATACCGAATATCGGGAGGTTTTGACAAACTTAATATACCCTCTAGATTATGGTGGAGGGTATACCAATGGGAGTTAAAGTTATATGGTAGGCTATACCAAGTAGAGGACCAGTACTGAAAATGTTTCGCAAAGAAAAATTCTGACCAGTGAAAATCCGATTCGATCGTATTTTTTGACTGAAACCATCAACGTACGTAGGGGTCGTTTCAGAGGGGTAGACCATTTTTATTGCCAAAAATCTTATCTTGAATGTTGAGGCCTTGATGTTTATTTTAACAGAAGGGCGACCTCATAAAACTGACTTCAAACTGCGTGCTGTTCTAGAATAAAAATACTTTATAAACTCTAAGTCGAATACTTTGAGTCGTTGCAGACGGAATGATAAAATTAATGCAACGAAATACCGAAAAACCAGAATATACATTACAATTTATGGCGTGTATCCTTAAAAATTTTTTTTAAAGGAAACAAGTTAGAACATTTCGGACGGCATTCCCATATACTTAGAACCTACGAATTTGACCATTTATTTTTAAATACCCTTATGGACCTGCATATCACATCTTTAGATTAGATTTAGATCTTGCGAGCATCGAAGAAATTGGGCAACATTTTCGATTATTAAAAATGTTGACTCTTTGTTGGGGAGGTACCAGAAGAAGTGGGCCAATAAGTCGCATAATCATACAATCCATGCTTGGTAGAAATATTGAGAAATATGGGTCCTTTGTGGGCAGATAATTATAATATTCACACTAGATATAATATGCATTTAGTATTTTATGAGAGTTTGAATTATTAAAAATTTGTACAAATTGTGGAGAGGTCCTAGAAGAAGTGAACCAATCTAGCGAATACGTTCTAAGTCTGTTTCAAATATTAAAAATTGCAAAGTTTGTAGAACAAAATCCGAAATTCTTAAAGGGTGTACATATATTTGAAAACTTAAAAATTTTTAAAATTTAGGAGGTGTAGTTATATGGGGGTCATAACCAATAAAAGGGTACATTATCCATACTCAGAGCCAGAAATATGCATATTTGTAGTTTACATTAAACATCAATTCTACGCAATATCTCAGAAAGCTTCTAGGTGTTATGTTGACCTTATTGTTATAGCCAAGCTGTTAAGTGATGTATAGACCGGATTTAGTCACTAAAAATTATCGACTGATACTGCCAGGAAATAATTGTCTACACCTTTCACGAAGTCAATACACAACGAACCGCACACTCTGCTTATTTTCTACTCTACTAATAACGCAAAAGCGAAAATCAATTATCGGTTTCACATTGAGGACAAAATAAAAAGTGATATTAAATTCAAAACTCAAATAATTTAGTTTGGAAACGAATACCTTAATTTTTGGCGTTTCAAAACAAAAACAAACATCTGATGCTACTAAATTTCCAACACTTCTGCAATTAACTGCCTATTTACGTTACCTGCCTGCCGCCTTCCTGCAAATCACATCACTAACACACAACAAACACAAACAAAGAAACAAAATTAAAAATCTATCTCACATATTTTGCAGATAAAATCAATTGCAATATTTGCGATCAGATTTTGGAAGGTTTGGAGCTAATCGATGATGAGTGTGATGTCTTTGGTATCCACATGGTGAAGATTCAGGATCCCCAACTGGCCAAGCGTTATTCAATTAAAACATTCCCTGCTTTGGTGTATTTCAGGTAAGTAGGCTCTCATTTTTATATATCTCCCTCTCTCTCTCTGATTTCTCCACAATTTCTCTCTGCACAGAAACGGCAATCCATTGCTGTTCGAGGGCGATTTGCAAAACGAACAATCCGTCTTGGAATGGTTGATCGATGATGACAATCGTGAATTGGCCGATGAAATTGAAGAGGTCAACGAGCGCATGTTGGAACGTCTCATGGCTGAGTCCACATTGTTGGTGGTGTTCTTTTGTAAGTGGTTGGTATAGGAGTGGGAAAATCACGGGCTATTACATTTCTTTCATTTCCATTTCTTCAGATGATGAAGACTGTGCCGAATGCGAAGAAATCCTGGAAGAATTGGAAGAAATTGATGGTGAAGCCGATATGTTTGGCATTGATTTTGTTAAGATTGCCAGTCCAGAAGCTGCAAAAACATATGACGTTGTTAATATACCTTCATTGGTATACTTTAGGTGAGGAGTAGTAATTCCCATCCCTGGTTCGAGGGTGAAATTAACTTTTTCGATGCTAATATTTGACAGAAAACAAGTTCCTGTTTTATACGATGGCGATTTGCATCAACACGACAAAATCATTACTTGGCTGACATCTCAGGATGTCTTCGAGATCAAGAATGAAATTGAAGAGGTCAATCGCAAAATGTTGGACAAATTATTGGAGGAGAATGAATTCATTACCGTATTCTTTTGTAAGTATTTACAATCTAGATCAAATTTTAATTCGCTATTCCTGCTGTTTGAATGACCCACTTATATCCTTGAAATTCGTCAAGTCGGACACTGTTGATGTGTAGGAGGAAAATAAATATGGATTTTGGGAAGTTCCGACTTAACGGGTACTAAAAAGTAGTAAATGCTAAGCCATTTTAAATTGTGAGCGGTCAAAGCTAGAACTATATAGATTATGATAGTAAAGTAAAAAAGCTGTAAGATCGTCTGGGCCGAACTTTTAATACCCTCCACCATTTGAAACGAATTTGGCAATTTTCAAAAAAAAAAAAAAAAAATCCCTAAAAAAATCTGTAAAATCTTAAAAATACCAAATGTTTCCGTTATATCAGGGTCTATACTACGACGTGGACCTGCATAGGCAACTTTTGTTATAAGCCACAACAATATTTAACTGCGGAACTTGTAGAAAAAAATTCTGTGAATAATGTAGCTAAAATCATTAAAATACCGAATATAGGGGGGTACCGTTATAAGGGGGCTATACGAAGGCGTGGAACTGCATGGACAATTTTCTGTCAAGGGCTGCTGTATCCATTACGAACTTCGAATACCAAGTATGAAAGAATTCCAGTGAATAATGTCGCTAAAATCGTCAAAATATCGAATATCGGAAGGTGCCGTTTTATGGAGGCTATATGAAGTCGTGGGCCTGCACGGACAATTTCCTATCATAGGCTGTAGTATCCATTACGAATTTTAAATATCAAGTATGAAAGAATTCCGGTGAATAATGTCGCTAAAAACGTCGAAATATCGAATATCGGAAGGTGAGTTATATGGAGGCTATACGAAGACATGGACCTACACAGACAATTTTCTGTCATAGGCTGTGTGGATACTACAGCATCATACTACGAACATCAAATACCAAATTTGAAACAATTTCGGTTAATAATGTCGCTTAAATGACCAAAATACTGAAAATAGGGAGGTACCATTATATTGGGGCTAAACGTGGACCTACATGGCCTATTTTCAATACCAAAAGTCCTGCAGACATACTATACATTTGAGTAAAATTTTATCAACCTACTTCATTTTGTTCGGAAGCTAGAGTGATTTCCACAGACGGATAGACGGCGTAAAACTAGTCTTCTGAACTAGAATCGTGAAATTATTAGTTATCTAGCCTCCACAGCTCAGTAAACATCGTCCTCATCCACAAATAACCTGTATTCCTTTCCTTCCGTTTCAGATGAACACAATCAGCAAGAGTCAATTGCCGCTTTGGAGAAACTGGAAAATATCGACAGTGAAACGGATAATTTGGACATAACATTTGTGAAAATGGCCGATTCTCGTTATGCCAAGAAATGGGGTGTTACCAAACTGCCAGCCATGGTTTACTTCCGAAGAAGATTCCCAAGCATTTATAGAGGTACCACTCCCCAACGCTTTCACTTTTTACTTTCAACTAAAAAAACACATTTTACCATCTATCCATTCATCCATTTCTAGGTGACCTTTTATCCGAGGACGAAGTCTTAGAATGGCTGCGTAAAAATCGCTTCCGCCAGCCTGAATTGAATATATTCATGTACGCCCTGATAGCCTTGGCTGTGGCCTTTGTCCTCTACACCGCCTTCTTGCTGCAGTGTTTCAAGCCAGCACCACCACCGCCACCACAACATCCCAAGCAATCGTGATAAGCTAACCACTGCACTGCTGGAGGTGTGGAGAATTCTTTGCAATTCTTTGGTTTTGGATGTGCCGTCGCCCGTGTCGCCGCCACAGCACAGCAAACAGCCACCGAACATTATTTTCTAGCCAAATTATTTCATTTCATCTGTTTTTTTCTTTATTTTGTATTTTAAGTTTTTGTAAACAGAAAACTAGATTTTATGTGTAAATCTTCTGTTTGATTTCGGCAATGATGAGACAACACACATACAGACAGACATACATACATGCATATTTAGAGTTATGTAACATAACATATGTATTATTGTAATTTTAATTTGAAAATTAATTTTGTAAAACTTAATTTTACGACCAAAGGAGGGAAAAACCAAACAAAACAAAACAACCCAACCCAACAACAAGCATCGAAAGAGGACTCTTTAAGACTAGAACCTCTGCGAAGTAGAGAAATCAAAACAGCAACAACTACAACAAAAAAACCAAACGAAAAATAACGAACGAAATTATTATTAGCGAGTCAAACTCTAATCTCCACCGCCCGCATACTACGTAATGCCAACATTTTCTTATGCCAAACTATTAGATCTGAACATCGCCCCCAAAATCTTACGAAACTCCATAACAGCTTTTCTCAAGCGCAGACCCAGTCTTAAAGAGTCTTTGGGGCTGTGCTTTCATTTCGAGATTTAATTGATGTCTTCCAAGACATTCATCTATCCAACCACCAACCATTCTTCGTTCCATCTGCCAATCTATCCTTTTAGAACCAAAATGTTTTCGAACTCAAACTAGGCGAAAAGTTACTACCACAAAAACAAACAAACAAATAAGTAAACAAATCAACTACACACATACAACCGAACAGTCAAACAAACAAACAGACAACTCAGAAAGGAAACAAACAACCAAACAACTCTAATCTAGAACAAGAACAAATTGTAAACGTAAAAGAACGATTTAGATATTTCGATATTTAATAAAATAAATAAGACAACAAATACAACAACTAATTTATATATAATAACTTCGACAACAACAACAAAAAAACACTAGAACAATACACATACTTATATGCGATACCAATACAATCACCGTGTGTTTGTTCCCAACATACCAAATTGACTTGAGAATAATATTTTAATAAGCTTTCAAAAATAAGCCTTAAGCTTGAGTAAATCTTGAGAATGTATTGAGAAATGCTTGTTTAACAATTATAGAATAATCGAAAGGGAACCCTTATTCATAAGCTTATTCTTGTAATTGCAGAATAAGCTTACGAAAGTAATATTATATCAAGCTTATTTTTTCAATGGTATAAAATATTTATTTTTTAATTATTTTACACATTTCATTCATTGATCGCCATCCCAGCTGTCGCTGCCTCCTGTTGCATTGATACCTAGATGATTTCTTTCCCCTTATTTGAGCTTCCGCATCTCCTCCACTAATTCTTCACTTCTCTTGAATTCTTGCAACTTTTTGACGCCTCTATTCTGAAATGAGATTGAAATAATATGCACTACAGATTCCCAGATTTATTATTCATCATTACCTTAGAGTTTCGTCCAGAAATGGGTCTTAAATTCGCGTGATTTTGATTTTAACCAAAGAAAATATTTTTTTGTCGACAATTTTCACAAAAAAAAATCAAAACAAATTTGTCAACAAAGGACAGATTTGAGAAAAGTTTGTGCAAAAAAGTTTTTCTCTAGCATTGTTGAGGAATTCTTACGATAAACTATTTTCATAATATTATTCTCAAGCTGTATTGTATTTTTGGTATGTTGGGTTATTACCAACAACAAGAACAACAACAACGAAAAAACTCATGGCCTTATCAGTGGCTGGTCAGCCGTCAACAACAAGAAAAATAAGAAGGACAGCAACAACAAAAAGTTTTTTTTTCTTTGAGAAAAGTTCAATAACAACTAAATTAGCTGAAAACATAATTTTTATGGAGAAAAAGGTCAAGCCCACATACATATGTATTTGCTTTAAGACTATTTATTTTGCAGTTTTTTTTGTAACGGTAGAGATATTGGGTTCAAGATAACCAACACTACAGCAAATGCACTACCAGGTACTGTGGGAAAATCTACTGAGAGAATCATGAAAGGTGGAGGGGGGAAAGTTCAACACAGATCTTCACTACAGAAAAGAAAAAAGAAAAAATGATTTGAAATTAAGTGGCTCAAATTATGTTATCTTTGCATCAAAAAAAAATATAGGGAATTGTTCCCTTTGTAGGGATGGTACCAGAAGGGGTCATCTTCACAGCAAATTTTGTGTTAGCAGAAATATTATAATGTTTGAAATTCGAAGAGAATCGGATGCTTATTCCGCATTTTTGAGCATTTTGGTTATTTAGAAATTTGCCCTGTTGTGAGGAAGGCACCAAAAGGAATAGTCCGTTTTTCATACAAGATCTTGTGTTGGTTGGATGTGGGAAAATTGAAGATGATCTATCCAATCATTTCGCCTTTTTCAAGAGTTATAATTATTAAAAATTCTTGCCTTTTGTGTGGGAGGTATTTTATTAAGTTGGGCGATATTGTCCATTTTCGCACCTGACCTGGATCTTATGAAAATGTGACAATTTGCAAAGTTTGACAAAGCAAGAATTACCCCCTCGCGTACTATTAGGTAAATTATTTTGTTTGAAAATATTGGCCTACTGTGATTGAGGTACCAATATTGCCTATCTACGAACACGGTCTATTTTGTATAATAATATTAAGATCTACAGAGTTTGGACGTAATTGGATACTCTCTTCGCGAGTTATAGTGCGCACCAACCAGCAAGACAAAAAGGCAGACGGGCACCCCTAGATATACTGCAAATGTCCTGAAACGTATTATTTCCAAAACCGTTATTTTAACGATTTATACCTGTAACCTCTGTAACCATATGGCTGAGTGTATAAAACTCATTCGAATTCACTGACAACTATAAGTCCTTAGCCTGTGAGACCAAATGCGTGAACACGGGTTTGATAAATTACAGATCGTAACAGACCGAAAATTATATTATTGGCAATTTGTTTTGCAATGTCGAATGAAAGAAATAGAAATTATAGACCGGGTCGAACTTATTATATTATCGCGTTTCTCTAAATTCCTAATATTTGAGTCAAAACCTTAATACACTTATGGCCTTCAAAATACAAATAATTAGAGGACTATCGGTCCTCGGGACCATTTCAAAATGCCGAACTGCATTAAACATTTGGATTTTAAAATATCAAATTAAGGCCTCAAATTAATTCCAAAAATGTGATAAGGACTTAAGAACCTCTAACACCTTCCCCCGTACGCATTTTTTTGTCAAAATATGTACCCATACAAGTAGGGAGAGTTTTTATCCAATAAGTATCAAGGTGCTTAACATAGCTAGTTCGATTAAAATGTATTCTGAAGCCTTCAAAACAACGAATATCTAAGGGTCCCTCAATATGAATATTATACTATGTTGTAGACCAATATTTTATATGTTCTACCGGAAGAGCAGAATTAAAATAAGATTAGGTAGAAAATGGATCTGAATTTCACAAACTGCTTCAGGACGTACTACGTCCTACAATTAATTGGGCCTATAATAGAAGAAGTGAAGACAAATTGCAAATTTGGTTGGAAATTTTGGCTAGAATATTTAAATTACCCATAGTCGGAAGGTACGGTGATATTGGGCTATACCCAAACCTGGGCAAATTTTCAAAAATTTTAGGAGTACAACAAATGTATAAACTTAACATATTCATTCAAATACCTAAATCAATGCTGAGATTTGCTCAATTTTACTCCCAAGTGAAAAATACTCAAGAGGGAGAGTGCTCGAGGAGTACGAAGTTTACTCTCCACTATTTTGTTCAATGTGGGTATGCTTACGAGATCTCCTGTTCGAAAAATATGTCAAAATGTTCGAAACGGAGCAATACAGAAATAGAGTAAAACCGAGTGAAAAGAGTTTTGATGTTGTCCCAAATCCAGTGTAGAAATTTCCACTTATCCGGGTATTTATCCGAAAGAGGGCAACGATATGATCCATCGTCGCACCCCAACATACTTGGACAACAAATTATGATTTTTGTTGGACTGCCTTTCGTATTCTCCTTTCTTGAAGTTTATCTTCTGAGGGGATGATGCCAAGAAATAGCATCCCATTTTCGCATTTTATTTTGGGTTTGCATCCAATTTGAAATAAATAAATTTCCAAGAAAATTGTCGCCCTCTACTTCATCTTAAAAAAGTTTTGATAATTTACAAATATGATTCTTCATGGGTAGGCACTGAAGGTGTGGGTTAAGGTAGCTCTTTTCCAAAATTATCTTGAACTAGGAATACTCTAAATAATACGTTTAGGCTATATCGAATGCACTCTTTATATTATATGAAATACTTGATTTGCTCTGAAATTTTAACCTTTTTTGGTGGGGGTACCAGAATACCTCCTATTACCGAACATCATCGAGGTAAGTTAAAAAATGCAAACTGCAACTTATAGACCTTCCCGAAATGCTCTTAAATGGATTTCAGTCAAAGATATAAATTAATATAATATAAGTTCTGAGTATACGTCATAGGCTCCCGATGTTGACAGCACAACAAAGGGAATGCCTATGGTATTATAGAGATAAAATATGAAAAAATAGGGAAAACTATCAGACTATCAGACAGCTGCCTGCATTGACAATATTATCGCCTTTACTTATTGAAAACTCGAAACCTCTATTGGTTCGGAACCGATGGACGGCTTGCCCATCCATAGTTTCGAATTTTATAAAAATATTTATATCTACAGGATTATAAAATTATGAGTTCTATGATTTAAAACGGAATGACAAATTTAATATACCCAATAATACACAAACCGTATTTTATCGTAAAGGATATAATAAAAACCACCTGCCAATGTCCATATTTTACAGTAGACCAAATATCTTTCAATCAGATAAAGTATTCTCCATTTATCTTTGATTTTAGTACTTCAACTTGTACTAAAATTTCAAACACTTTCCAACACTTGGTTGTCACTCGAAATCCTTCGAGCTTTTTTGTTATCATCACGATGAATTGCAAGCTTTTCGAAGCTTTCCCTTGACAGCTGTTCGCCAAAGTTCCATTTGTTTACATTTATCGCGCACACACATACACACAACTCCCCTTGGCCAGGACTCTCAGCACTGAGTGGCCAGCAGATATGCGCAGAGACCAAAGCTTTGTCCTTTGCAAATCCAAAACATTGATTGACGGACGACTGGAGAGGATGTTCTTGGAAAATACATAACAAATACACGCAGACCAGTGAGACGAACAGTGAGTGTGCAGTAGAATTTCAAAAGATGTTGCAAAAATGAATAACAAATTCAATTGAAAAAAAAAGGAGGAAAAATGAAAAGATATTTAAGAAACAACTGAAAACTCAAATAAAGTTGCAGTGCAAATTGAAAACCAAAATAAAGTTCAAAATATCCCTTTTTGTGTTAAAGTTAATGAGTGTGTGTGTGTGTTTCTTTTTAAATTTTCCATAAGGAAGGAATATTTGCTGCAAGTCCTTGATGGCCCAGCAAAAATATCCATAAACAGGTAAGTGGCAAGCCAAGAGAGAAGAATGGGCAAAAAAACACATTGGCTTTAGTTAGGTCCTGAAGGAAGAAAAACGAAACAATTACTTTTTGTATACCTATCTGGAATCATCTGGAGGACCACTCCATGGCCCCTCCAAAAAGATGGCGAAATTGTCTTTCTATTCATTTGCAATAAAAGTAGTTTATCCTGAGGCCAACTTCTAAACCACACCAGCAACCAACCATTCTAGCTTCTTTTATGTGCGAGTGCTTTTTTATTCTCTCGTCGTGTTCTCATTTGGCACTTTACTTCGCTTCACCTCCCTCCCGACACGGCTGCCCTTGCAATGCCATTCACTTCGACTCCACCATTGTTTTGGTTTTGGGTTTTATGTATGTCGCAAGGGGGTTTGTACGTGTCGGTTTGTTTGGTTCTTTGTCGATTTGTTTGTGCCTCGGTGTGCTGCCTTTGTCAGTGGCTTCTGCAAAGGAGTGTAGGTGTATGTGTGTGTCAGAGCGAGGGAGGTTGTGTGTTCTGTGTCATACCATTCATTCTCCCTATCCTTATTGCATTCCTCCAATCAACATTTCTCCTTGTAGTTGGTTTTTTTGTTGTGGCTTCGAGTACAGACTTTAGTAATAAAATAGCATAGATTCGTGCCTCCCAAAGGTCCATCGGATTTAATATCAGGGCAAAGATGCCTGGGGAATAAAATAGGGGGACAGTAGTGTTTGTCTGGAATTCAAAATAAATTCTATTGCCTATTTTATCAGATGTGGAATGCGGTGGTGTTTTTATTTGCATTCCTTGAGGCGATAACAAAGAGAATAAACATCTTCAAGCATGCTGTAAATCTCAAACACGATGTAAATAATATTTATTGGAAAAATCGCAATTCCATTAAAAAAATTATTTTCATTTGGAAGGACATTCATATGCCTGTCTGTTAAAGTAAACATAGGGCCCAAACTATTTTATGTAGAGTTTAAGAATTTGACACAATAGTCTGTATTATGTCCCGGATGAAGAATATTATATATAAATCTCTGCCCACATTTTGAATACTGCTATATATCCTCATTACCGAATTCGATATCTACCACTAATTTTATGCGAATATTTGTTAATCTTAAAGAAGGGGTACGCCGATATCTGTTCTCTTCATGCCAAATCTTGTGTAAATAAAAGTATTGCAATGTCTGAAATGTGAAGAGAATCAGAAGCTTATTTCGTATTTTATGAGCGTTTTAGTTATTCAAATATTTGACCTCTTAGTGGGGGAGGTACCAGAAGGAGTTATAGGATATCTACCATCTTCGCCCTTGATCTTGTGTTAATAAAATATTGGGATGTATGCAATTTGAACAGAATCGATCACTTATTACGCAGAATCGATCACTTGTGACGTTTGAAATATTGAGGTGTAGCAAGTTTGAAAATAATCGGATGCTCATTAAGTATTTTATGATAGTCATAATTTTAAATAATTTTGACCCGCTGTTAGAAATGATGGCATGTGCCGAGAATAATCGAATATTTCGAATTTCATGAGAGTTCAAAATTTAGACCCTTTGTGGGTGAGGTACTTGCCGAGCATAATAGGATGCATATTTGGTATTTCACGAGAGTTCAAAATATTGGCCCTTTGTGGGGGGAGATACTTAAGGGAGTGGGTCGATATTCTCGCACCTGACGTAGAACTTGATGGATTGGATGAAAATATGAAAATATTAGGTTTGGAAAAGTTTACATAAAATTGGAAGATCCTTTTAATCGTTTGGGGTCGACGTACCAGAAGGAGTGGACCGATATTGCCCACTTCCGAACTCGATCTAAGTATGACAATAATATTACGATGTACCAAGTTTGGATCCAACCGGATCCTTCCTTCGAGTTCGAGTTATAGTGTGCACTAGGCAGACAGACAGACGGAGTGATTCCAAGTCCCTAGATCGATTCCAAGTCTTATGAAAAGGATTTGGTCCAAAGGTACCTAAGGTGTAAAACCGTTTTTTCGGTGAGGCACGTTTTGGCCGCATCCAATGATATGTAACCTCTGTAGCCATATGACTGAGGGTTTGAAAATTATGGATTTTCGTTGAATGAACATTAACCCTACAAGAAATTTTTGCAATAGAGGTCTATATATATGCCGAAGACTCATATAGAGGGTCTGGCGAATTATGGGTGTTTCTAGGGGCTTTCCCCTCCTCAATGGCTGTAACTCGATTTCGCAATCTTATATGTTTCTCTATGTTTTAAAATGTCCCCCATAAAATGCTAACCTCCAGTTTTTGGTTTATTGAATGTCCTGAGTAATCTGCAATATGACAACGAGTATAAAACGTTATTCAGATCTGACATAGCGCTTATGTAACAATAAGCCAACCGATTTTTCTAATTGTTTCCTCTGCATGGTGACGTCACTTTGTGATGAGTTATCAGTTCTGTTTTGAAATATAGTGATCCATATATGAGCCAGGTATTCAGAAGATGATTACAGTTCAAAATCAAATTGGATTTGATGGAGAATGATTCGAGAGCTTTGAATTAGGATGTACGTTGAAATCAAAAAATATCACGGCTAAAGTTGGGATATAATTAAGTTGATCACCGTGAGTTATGGGCATATTAGTAAATTGCTAAAGCGGTTCTTTATCCGATTTACTCGTCTACAAAATTGTTTCTAAAAAATGTCAATCTCATATAGTTCATAGTCTTGACAGATAGGCCAGGAGTAAAGATAGGCAATGTTAGCTCCGTGTTGAGCCGCCTCCACACGTCCTCAAAATTTAAAACAATAATAACTCTTTCAAAATGTGAAATGAGTGTTCAATTTTTTTCAAAACTCGCAAATTGAAATATTTTTGTCTATAAGTGTGAAAATGGAATAGGTTGGTCGACTCTTTCTGGAACCTCCCCAAGAAGTCTAAAATATATTTTATATAAAAGGAATCGAGCGTTTTATATCAGACTTAAGTCACGATCGAACATCTCGTACCTTTCCACAAAAGATAAAAATTTGGAATCCCAAAAACTCTTTTAAAATGAGAAATTAATGTAAAATTCTCGTTAAGCTCTCCCATTGAGATGTGTCGGTCCACTACCTTTAAAAACTCTCCCATAAAGGAGAACAATTAGTAATAATAATAGCTCTCATAAGATGAGAAAAGTTTCCCCCGTTTTCTTCAATGTTCTCACAATGCAATGGCTAAAGTTTTGAGATGGGATAGGAAGATCTAACCATTATGCTAGGTCCCCCCAAATGGAGGTATACATAAATTGTCAAATTCTGAGGATATCTGTCGGAAAAACTTGTATAATATTCAAAATTGGGAACAATAAAAATACCGCTGCTACCAAACCTACACGTATTGCCACTCTATTCTCTGCTGCCGTGATTAGGTAAAGAAAAGAAGAACTCTACCACTACTAATGCACTAAAGTGTTTGTTCAACACTTGATGTTGCTCTTTAACTGAACAGCACTGTTATTTTGGTATCCTCTAACCTCTCCGTTCACGTACACACACGCATCACTCACTCTCTCTCTCCCTCTCCGCCGTATGATTAGTATTTTCTTGGTAGGAAAATCATCATCGGCAACAACAACAACTACAACAAAAACATTGATATGTTTGTAATTTGAGTTTTTCATTCATTTTCTTTTCATTCAGTCTTCAATTTCTTGTTCGAGCGAGTGAGCGAACGAGTGAGTCATGGCTGTTGGGTTTTGTGCCTTTCTTTGTGTTCTGTTTGACTAGATACGAACATACATATGTACGCGTGTCTGTATGTTTGGCTGTCTGCCTGTTAGGCGATATTCGTTATCTTTGTCAAAGTTGATGTCATATTTTTCTCCACTTTGTTTACTTATTTGTATTTTTCCGTATTATTATGAAAACAATACAAACAGAGCAATGAACACAAGAAAGAGAAACAGAAAACTGAATTCAACACTCTCTACTCGCCGCCCGTTTGCCCCGCTGCCACTCTTGCTCTTGCGTTTTGGGGGCATTGTGAAATTGAAGATGGAGCATGCATATAATCTTCTGATCCCATGTTCGTGTCATTTGAAGCTGTAAAACTGTGACATATAAAATGTTTACCAATACTTGGCTCACACACACGCAGGCATGCACCCACACATACACACGCACACCCTTTCACATGGGTCCCAATGAATACCGCAATATATATTCATATCATTTTTCTGCATTCGATTGTCGGTCGGTATATTTCCATTCAACGATTGATGATAATAAAGATGAGGACACCGATGATGATTCTGATGTTGATGTTGACGTTGCTAGGCCAGAGAGTAATCATAGTCGTTGGTGTGTTCATTCGTCCGATTCCATAGATGTGTCTGTAGGTAGGTTGATTGGTTTGTGCGTATGATGAATTGAGTTGTAAGACTTAATATTATACACCAGACCGACAGACTGACAGACGTACGTGGTCGTGTCAATGGTTCCGAGTCGGGGATACATGAAAACCCACTTGTTAACAAAGAGTATATGTGTATGTATGCATGTGTGTGTGCGGGTGTGTGTGCACATTATTGTTAAGAGTTTATTTGCACGTTAAATTGATGATGATGAATAAATTTTATTGGGTTTCGATGCTAGAATTTTCTCTTCTAAGAAAACCCAGAAGAAAAACGACAACAAAAGCCAAATAATGAAGCCCCACAATGGCACTGATATTGATTAGATACTTGAATGGGCAGGTTCACAATATAATGATGTTTATTAAGGATTTAAAATGTTGGTTGTATCACTTGGTGGGAGGAAGAAAATAATCACCGAAGGTAGGGTATTCTTTCGGGAAAGAGTACTACATTATTTTCCTGAGGTACCCAGGACAAATTTTTATACCCTACCTGGAGGTTATATTAAGTTCTTCATTCCGTTGGTAACTCATCCAAAGCATATATATTCTTGATCAGCGTAAAATTCTAAGACGATTTAGCCCTGTCCGACCGTCTGTTATAATCAAGCTAGAGTCAAAACAAATAAAGATAGGAAGCTAAAATTTTGCACAGATCAGTCTTTTGTGTGCAGACAGGTTAAGATCGAAGATGGGCTATATCGGTCCATGATATCGTATAGCCCCCATATAACGGTACCCCCTGATATTCGGTATTTAGATGATTTTAGGCACATTTTTTGGAATTATCTGAAATCCTGAAATCCAAGGAGTTCCTTCTGAGAAATTTACCCCCTGGAAGAGAATTGTCTATTTAGGTCCGCGATATCGTATAGCCACCATACAACGGTACCCCCAGATACTCGGTATTTTGATGATTTTATTCACAATTTTCAAATAAATTGTCTTAAAGGAGCTCTTTTGCATTGCAGTATTTTCAAAAGGGCTAGGATAGGTTGAAATAGTGACACTACCGTCTCCCTTCCTGTGGTACCTGACCCAAAAAGGGTCTTAATTTGTATTAGTATAACTCTTATAAAATCTTAAATGCTATAATCACCGATATTATACAAAGATTTGGCGCATTTCAACATTTCTATCAAAATCAGATATGGGGTAAAGGCGAGCTATTTTTGTTCCCTTTCACCCAGCAAAATATAAATATTAAAAAAAAAATGAAATCGTAATAGGTATCCGATTTGGATGAATCTTTGCAAATCGTGATATTTTTATTGAACGAGATCAAACATCTACCCGTTTATCCTGGATTACCATATTAACAAGCAGAATTATCCTAGAAGTCAGGGTGCTTCTAATTTCAAAGGGAGTTTCCATCTCATCGAATTTCTCTAGAAAATATCAAATAATTCGGAAACTGGTCTATCTTCCAATTACATGTTTATCTTCCAAATACGAGTTATTTTGTGTAAATAACCTGACAGTCTTTCGAAAATGAATATACAGGGCTCCAAACTCGAAAAATTTGAATTTGTCTCATTTAAAATTTGGGATGCGAAATATTATGGGGGCTAGAATGATTTCCACAGACGGATATACGGACGGACATCGCTGAATCGACATAGAATTGTATGCTGATTATGAATGACTATAACAATGACTATAACAACATCAAGTTTTACAATAGAAAGACGTGTGCAAAACTCCAGATTGTTTTTACAAAAGGCCAGTTTGATTTTCAATCAAAACATGGACCTTTGGAGGTCAAAATTTTTTATACAAAAGACTTAGTGGTCTTCATACAAATTCATCCTTAAAAACACCTGAAAGTCTTCTTTTTTAGAACATTGAAAGGTGTCCTTCAAAAAATCAAAAAGTCCAGCGATAAAAGACAAGAGTCTTCCTCCAGAATAAAAATAGATCCTCCTAAAGAAAAGTATTCCTTTAAAAGGCCTGGAAACCTTTTTTGAGGACAAGGAGGTTTTTCTTCAGATGACAAGTAGATATTCAATAAAAAAAAGTCCTAGAGCTTTCCCAATGAAAGATATACTATTCCGGCTCTAAGGGCTATATTTGCCCCCATAAAAGACTTAAGGTAACCACCATGTCATAGCATTTTATTAGACCACAATATCTTCCAAGGAGTATCAAAATGAGTTTCAAAAAACGAAGTAATCTGATTGGATGCTAGAATTTATTTTTTATAGAGATTCTGAGTTATTCTTATAAAAAGGGGCCTATATTAAAGCTTAGGGACAAGGTTAAGAATATTACCTTTAGAGAGACCACAGAATACCAGAAGTTTTTTTATACATAGTACTACAAAATATTAAAAAAACCACTGCCCACACAACCAAAAATGTTCTTGTAGAAAACCAAAAGGCATATTTTTTTACTTTTGATCGAAATTTGTTTATTGACAACCAACATTTCTCCATCTCGGATTAGGCAATTATTGTCATTTATTATTTTTTATATATATTTGTGATGGAAAATTCCCTGTTTACTAATACATATGTATATTGCTTCAATCCTTAATATTTGTCTCTTTGCAGATTAGTTGGAATACAGTTCCATCATTTGGTAAGAATTATCTTTAATAATGAATATTTGCATTATTCTCAGCTAGGCAAAAAATTATCATAAAATATTTAAAGAGCTCCCATGCATGACCATTGAGTGCTAAGCCAGAGAACAGCATCCCTCTTTGTCAGTCAGCCAGCCAACCAACCAAACAATGAACCAACCACCAGACACACAAGCCACCAAATAAAGTAGCCAATTATAAACAGAACTTGGGAAGCACTTTGAGTATCAGAATGACCTAAATCATGAAAAAGACAAATACTTCTTTTGTATAAAATAGGATTTTATTTCAAATACAATGGCGATTGTTTATAAAAAATGAAGCATTGAGAGAAAAGAAAAATAAAAAAATTCCGAATAAAATTAAAATTAATTAATTAAATTCCAAAGAAAATCAATTAATTTACAAATATCATAAATGAAAAATTTGATAAGAAATGTTCAAATCAAGACCTTAACTTTAATTTATTTGCAAAGTATTAGAGCTGTTCCAGAATTGTCGTACAGGGTGAGATGAAAAACCTGCAACCAAGTTCAGACTGCTGTCATTTTTAAGCCACTCGTCCGACAGCTGTAAAAATTATTCCAGTGACAGCTCATTATATTGTTTACAAGCGTACAAAAGCATTTTGGTGAGAATTTTCCAGAAAAACAGTTATTCGTGATGGAATTCAAGCGTGATAGTGTGATTTTTTTATATTTGGCTGGAAAACCACAAGCTATCGTTAGTGCACTCCAGTATTTAAATGTGAATAAATCTTTTTTCTCGTACCACCGCCCGTTACCGTGATACTGGTAGCGTAGCCCGACGTCAAGGAAGTGGACGTAAGAAAACAGAAACATCAGCAGAAATGGTTCGAAAAGTAATGAAGCGACTTGATCGAATCCCGCGTCGCAGTGGCCGAAAAATGGCTCGTGAGCTGAACATATCGCAATATTCCATTCGAAAATATTGAAAAATGAGCCATTGAAATTCACAAAATTGGAAGAACTTATACCGCAAGAGAAAGAAAATATACTCAAAAGAGCTAAAGAATTGCTTCGCTTGGCCGAAAGTGGTGAATTGCCGAATTTGGTTTTCTCCGTGTTTTCTTGCCAAAGAGGTCAGCTGAAAATGTGCACCTTCGGTTGGCCACCAGAACTCAAGTGCCGGCCATGGTGATTGTGTGGCCGCAATAACAGCCGATGGTCGCTCTCCGCTCGTATTAATCGATCGTGGCATCAGAATAAATGCCGAATATTATCGCGAAAATATTCTAGAGGATGTATTTTAGCCTTGGGCACGCAAACATTTTGGCCGCATACCTTGGACATTCCAACAGGACTCAGCACCAAGAATGGTTGCAAAATGAGGTTCCTCGCTTCATTTCGAGAGCACAATGGCCACCAAAATATCCGTATACGAATCCGTTGGACTATTGTGTCTTGAGTATTTTGCAAAGCAAGGTTGGCACTAAAAATACCAAAGTGTCGATCACCTCAAAGCAAGCGCTTCGCCAGGAATGGGCCAAAATACCGCAGAGCAACAGTCGGGCAGCGTGTGAGGGTTTCATTGGACGTTTGAAGGCCATAATTCGTACCAAAGGTGACCAATTCGAACAAATCTAAACTTATTCTAAAATTTGATGCTATTACCGACATTTTTTGCTTTCATTCAATAACAATTGGAAAAAACAACAAGTAAAAAAGCTGTAAGTTCGGCCGGGCCGAACTTTGAATACCCTCCACCATTTGGAACGAATTTGGCAGTTCTAAAAAAACAATAAAATCCGTTAAAAATTCTGTTTTTTTTATTCTTAATTCTTAAAAATACCGAATGTAGCTGTTACATTAAGGTCTATACGTCGACATGGACCTGCTTAGGTAACTTTTGCCATAAGACATTACAATATTTAAATGCGAAACTTAAAAAAATCGGTGAATAATGTAGCTGAAATCATCAAAATACCGTATATCGGGAGGTACCGTTGTATGGGGGCTATACGAAGAAGTGAACCTGCACAGACAATTATCTGTCTTAGGCTGTTGTATCCATTACGAACTTCAAATACAAAATGTGAAAGAATTCCGGTGAATAATGTCGCTAAAATCATCAAAATACCGAATGTAGGGAGGTACCTTTTTATGGGTGCTATACCAAAACGGGGACCTCCATGGCCCATTTTCAATACCAAAAGTCTTGAAGACATATTATACATTTGAGTAAAATTTTATCAATCTACTTCAATTCGTTCGGAAGCTAGAGTAATTTCCACAGACGGACGGACATCGCCAAATCGACATAGAATTTTATGCTGATCACTTCGTGGGTTCTAAAATGCATATTTCGAGGTGTTACAAATGGAATGACAAACTTGGTATACTATGGTGGAGGTTATAAAAATGTAAAAATTATGGTACTTGACTTTGTTACAGTTTTTTATCTCACCCTGAATTTGCAATAAAAATGTTAGTAAATGTATAAATACTACTAGAATTGTTATTAACCATTATGACTGTAATTTTATGGTTTAGGTCACAATGCTACTCAACGGGTCACAGGCTATGACATGGATTTAAGTATGTTGGGTTATAATTGACACAGCTTTGTTGTGGTGGACAACAAGTATACGATAATTTACAAACATTATCAGCATTGGCATTATGATGCACATCCCTACACACTTCAACACATTCACATCGAGAACTACTTGCATACACACGCACACACTCACACACATAGTAATATAGTATGTGTAAACATATTTATGGTGTAAATTTGTTTTGTGATAGATGTGATGTGATTTGATGAAATTAATTTAAATACTATAAATACATTTAACACCTTTCACAACATTGCCCCCATACCTATCTCTCCCTGATCATAACTCTAATAAATCTCTGTCTATACATTAAATATATACATGTAGAACATATTTTCCATTACACTCAATTAAATAATTTTGTTTTCCTTTATTTGAAAATCCTTTCGCCCTTACAAAAAATTGAAACCATTTTTTTATAAACTTTTCTTTACTCTATTCCTTTTTTTCACAAAAATTATCCTTTGTCTTTCTTTCTTCTCTTTGTCGTTGTACCTCTGTGTAATTACTTTTTGTAGTTCTAAAGTAAGCAAAGCTAAAAACCAAATAAAAGCAAACTATCTTTAGTGTTTAATGTAAAAAAGAAAAACCATAAAAGACCCCTACTCAAAAAGTCTCCAAGAAAAGTAACACCCCCCACTTCAAATCTACGCGAAGTTGAAGGCATCCGCACATATCAACACAATTGGACTACAAATAGAAAAAAGTAACCCAAGACCAACAACAACCCCAACAGACGGACAAAGATGGCTCCATTCAAACTTAAATTTCGCATGGGAAGCTCGCGTAGCACCTCACAGGAACACGAACCCGATCCGCAGGTAAATGAGGCCCTGCTCAACCATCAGACCAGTGGGGCCATTGGTGCCAGTAGTTCGACCATAGACTCCGTGGACTGTAACAGTTTGGTGTCGCTGAACACCAGCGAACGCAAACTGTTGTTGCCAAACAAGGGCAACAGCCTGAGAATGGGTAAGACATGAATTGAATTTCGTTTAACTACAACAATAACAACAACAAAACAAATACCAATAATATTTTATGATGTTTTGAGCCATTTTAATGTGTGTGTGTCTAGCCATGCAACAATAACATTTCAAGAATTAAAAGCCAAAATAAAAACAACAACAACAACTGAGTCACTTTACAAACAGCGCGGCATGAATGCTTTCAACATTGCACCAACTTCATTTGTACTTCAGTCATCCTCATCATCATCCGAAGCATTATTGTCAGTCCACAAAACACGCTTGGGGCCACAACTGTACCAGCTATCAATGGGTGTCAACACATTTATGTTTAAATCCATAATCTTCAAACATAACCGTGTAAATTGACTCAAATAACTTGTACAGTATCAAATGTAAAATATAGTAGAATAGTGTACTGGTCTGAAAATCATGGAAGGGACATACTCGAATCGGAAGGACTGTTTTCGTTTAAATTTTTAATTAAATTTTCAAATTATGGTTGAAATCTAAATCCGCATTAGGGCAGTGAAACCAATTTTCCGAATAAAAATTAAATTTGGCTTTGAAACAAAACTTTTTACCACAAATGGTATAATTCCAAATTTAATTTTCTTTCCGACTTTTCATGTAAAGAGATAGAGGCGGCCGATAAAGAATTTTTATACCCTCGGACTACAAAATATACATAATCGAAATAACGGGTCAGACCCCAAATTTCTTTGGACGATATCCGTTTCATGAGATTTGGAGTCGATCGGGTTTTGTCCGTCAGTCTGCAGTCTATACATCCGTTTGTCTCTCGAGACAGCTGCAGAGATACATTTGGACCAAACTTCGGACATTGTAATCTATTTTGCAAAAAATAGACCTATTCCAAAGGCAGGTCATATCGTTAGTAGTTTCCCCTTAAGAGATTAATAGATTCAAAATCTCGAATTAAGCGCATAAAGTATCGCACCACTTCTTCTGGCAACTCCCCCATAAGGAATAACCTTTACAAGATGTGATTTCTTTCGATTGCATTTTCCAATATTTATATCACCACTGGACCTAAAATTAAAATGGGATATATTGGTCCATTCTCTCCAGCACCTTTCCTCCAAAATTTCATACTTCATAAAATCTGGTGCGACAGTCTAGTACTACTTCTAATACTCTTTAAACAAGGGTCAACATTTTTAATAATTCTCCATTTTTCGCAAAATGCGCACATTATAGTATTTTCTCCAACTTTATATGAAGAGTGAATACACGATACATCGTTCCACTCCTTTTGGCACCTACCCGGCAAACTGTCAACATTTTTGAAAATCATAAATTAAACAAAAACCGAGCGATAAAAACAAACTGGGGTCAGATCCTTTCCTAACTTGTTCTTTTCATCTTGTCTCTATTCTTTCGTATTCGGATTTATTTCGATTTCTGTCACATGTAATCTGGAAAAGGCCTCTTTACATTTTTTGTCCCTTGTTAGTATCTTTCACTCACTTGGGTAACATTTTGTAAAAAAAAACAGAAGATTGTAAAAACATGACCAAACATTGAAGATTCTCATTTAGTGTCTATAAGTCTACAGATGCGTTTTAACATTTCATTTCCAGTGCCTTGCAAACTTTTACGCTCTCCAACAATTCGATGTATACTACTCTCTTTCATTGGCCTTACTTTGTGTTGATAGAGAAAAGAAAATTCAAAAACTTAAACATCAATCATTTGAACAATGGAAAATCTTTCTTCTTTCACATTTCTTTTCACACACACAAGAAAATATCTATTTTTCTTCTATTTTCCATTTTTCATGTCATCATTGCATAAAACGAATATTTATTTGTTCACACAGCTAAGTTGGCACTTGTAAACTGCAAACAGCTAACCCACCATCACCTACCCACCCACACCCACACACACACTCACAATCAATTTCACTTTTACTCTCACTCACACTTAACAACACCAATTAAAATGTGAATTGTTTTAAAAAAAAGAAAAAAACATTTAAGAGATGTATTTCTTCGAAACTATTTTCAACTTCATATTTCATTTTCAAACGAACATTTTCAGGCTTTATAAATCAGAATCAAGGGGAAAACATACCCACCACCCCACCGCCAACCTATGAACATGTTTTAGAAGAGGTAACTATTTCACAACAATACAATTAAGAAAACCCCTCTCTTATTTCACTACTTCTCTTCTTTTTCTCTTTTTACTCAGCAACGACAATTGGCCATTGCCGGCATCAACATCAGCATCAACAACGACGAAGACGACGACGATGATGAGCATAACCGTCATTTAAACGAATTGGAACAATTGAGTCTCAACGAATTACCCTGCACCGACCCGAATTGTCAGGAGAACTACACCAACAACAATCACCACAACATCAAACCCCATAATAACAACAACGAAGCGGTAGCAGCAGCAACGGCCTCATCGTCGGTCATTGCATCCACCACCAATTCCAATACCATTGACCCATTGGGTAACAACGATCACTTACATCAAAATATCACTACAGCTGAGGATCCGGACAACAATCTTGAAGACGATCGCAAGGAGTCAATTGATTCACAGGAATTACTATTGGGTGACAACATGACGGACTCGTCTTCAGACCAGGACAGAGATCAAATGGTTGGCGAGAACAGCTGTTCGGGCAATTGTCAGCAATGTCCGGACGGTTCAACTTGTCAACAGTATTCGGATGGTTCGGCTTGTCAACAGTATTCCGATGGTTCGGCATCGTGTTCGGGTGGTGGTGGCGACGTTAACTCTGGCGGAGATCAAAATCAAAGTAATGATTTCTATGATCCCCTGATGAACCATGGAATCTATTGTAACGATGGTGAGTTGAATAAATTAGGTACATAAAGGGAAAAACACAAGAAAGTGAGAGAGAGAGAGAGCAAAAAAATATGTATTCGGAAGGGAGAAATGGGACATATTTCACTGTCACTATAACAGACCAAAATTATATAAAGAGATGGTTTAAGAGAGATGGCCACCTAGATCGTACGACTTAATGTCTTTTGACTATTTTTCTGGGCTTAAGTTGAAGCCCATATCTATACAGACGAGTTCACTTCCATTTACGCAGCGGAAGACAACATTGAAACATTTATTTGTGAGATACCGGCCGAAAGGTTGAATAGAAACAGTAAATTATATTGGCCGTACCATCAATTCCTAAAGATTTCATGCATTCATATTTGAAAAAAATTCCTATAGCTCTTAAAAAACCACCCTTTAGATCTTAGAAATTTCAAAAACCTTTGCAACATTTTTCTAACGATTTCGACATGAGATGAAAAAACTAAATTTGTCTTTTACCTGTTTAAAAAAACAAAACTTCTACGCTCATTATTTTTTTCTCCGTTTATATTTTTATTTCCTTCATATTTTCAATAACTTTTGTATACAAACTAATGACAAAACTTCCGTTGTTCTGTATCATTTCTTTACACCCCTCCCCATTTAGCCTCCCACTATGACGAGGATTATCAGAGCCATCAGCAGATGTACGACAATGATGGCAATTCAGGTGAATGCGATGAGTCCTGTACAAGTGAACATCATTGGGACATGAATCCGCAGTCGAGCTCTCATCAGAGTCTCCATTGTGACAGCAGCGAACAACAGCAACAGCAGCAGCAGCAACAGTATTATCAACAACAATTGGAACGTTCACTGACACCGGAAATAATTAGTAATAAATCATCGAAGGAAATCTACAAGGATTTGGCGAAACAATGCGGCATAACGTGTAAAATGTCAGACGGCTGCCGGTGTATGGAGTGTCAGAGTCATTATTTCGATTGTGAATATGATGATGTAAGTACATGCATACAATACATACAGAGAATACACAAAAATACATTAGAAAATTGTGAATTAAAAAAAAAACAATTGAAAGATAAATTATGGCAAACAAATTCGGAGAGGATGGAGCTTGTATATCTTTACCAGGGATGTATCAAAGATAGGACAAGACAGAGTAAACATATGGTAACTCTGTGAAAATACCTTTGTTGTTAACTTTTTTTTAAAAAATCTCGGAAATAGCATCAAATTTTGGAATAAGTTTAGATTTATTCGAATTGGTCACCTTTGGCACGAATTGTGACCCTCAAACGGCCAATGAAACCGTCACACGCTGCCCGAATGTTGCTCTGAGGTATTTTGGTCCATTCCCGGCGAAGCGCTTGCTTGAGGTGATCGACACTTTTGTATTTTTAGAAATGACAGCAGTCTGAAGTTGGTTGCAGTTTTTCCATCTAACCCAGAATTTTTACTAACACAAGACCTTCTATGAAGTTTGGATGTATCGGTCCACTCATTCCGATACCTCCCCCCCAAAGGGTCAACATTTTTAATATCCGTGAAGCTCTTACAACGAGAAATTAACATCCGTTTCCATATCTCATTTGTTATACAGATGGTCAAGAACAGACCATTCCTTCTGGTAGCTCCCCCACATAGGATTCAAGATTTTGAAAAACAAAACGCTCAAAGCCAGCGAAATAAGCATCCAACTCTCTTCAAATTTCACGCATACAAACATTTTTGCTAACACCAGATCTGTTGTGAGGATGATACATAGCTGCGAACGTCTTCTGGTACCTCACACACAAAGGATCACAATTTTCAATACTTTTATCTGTCATAACCTGTGAAAAAAGTCTGCGATTTCTCTCAACCAGAAACCTGAGATGAATATGAAATTTATGATGGTGCATAAAATTGGATATAAATGCTCGACCTTACCTTACCTGTATTAGATGGAGTATGAAAATGGAACACTTCGGTCGACTATATCGCAAGTCGCAATATTTATATCACATTTATTTAGATCCTATACGAAATGGACAATATTAGCCAATTCAGGGTCAACAGTTTGAATAATTATAACACAAGTCAAAATACATTTAGGTAATCGAAGATAGGCTGAGGGTATACATCTGTCGGCAAAAGTGACTGATACTTTTTTAGTTGTTTTAAATGAATTTCTGGGTATTCGGTGCCCTCTGTTTGCAATACTTCAAAATACTCCTCCAAATATACATATCTAATAGATCAGTACAAAATTCGGATTAGTTATGTAGATTTTTAAAATTTGGATAAATATGTGTAATTGCGTTTCCAAGAAAGAGGTGTATCCTCTTAGAAAAAATCCTTGATATTATAGATGTTTCGAGAGGATATACCTTCTCCCTAGGGGAAATTTTGGTTCATTATTTACAATAGTCTCCATATGGCGAAGCCACTTAATATTTGGTATTGTAACGACAGGTTTCCCCTTAGGCTGGAGTAAGCTCGCCGGGGCCAAGGTTCGTAACAGAAAATTTGTTTGTGTGCGAGAGAGAAAGAGAAAGACGAGTGTTTTACGTTCTATAATGTTTATTCCGTACGCAATAGAGGTATATACAAAGTAAACTGAGATATTGCTTAATACTACTAGGATGACGTCTGTCCGAGATTAGGTGGGTAACTTTTGCCGTCCTTCGAAATGGAGACCTAGATAAGTACTCCTGGTGGGGAATGGACTGGGATGTTGGGAGTTGGAGACCTGGGTAAGTACTCTCACACAGGATACTCTCACTGGGATTCGGATTTTCCAGTTACGTAGGTCTATTGGGGAAATAAGCTAGGCAATACACACGAATTCTACTGCGAGAGACCTTGATAAGTACTCAGGCTAGGATACATAAGGATTCTACGGCAAGCGACCTTAATAAGTCCTCAAGCAAGGATACGTAAGGATTCTACGGCAAGAGACCTTAATAAGTACTCAAGCAAGGATACGTAAGGGTTCTACTGCAAGAGACCTTAATAAGTACTCAAGCAAGGATACGTAAGGATTCTACGGCAAGAGACCTTAATAAGTACTCAAGCAAGGATACGTAAGGATTCTACGGCAAGAGACCTTAATAAGTACTCAAGCAAGGATACGTAAGGGTTCTACGGCAAGAGACTTTAATAAGTACTCAAGCAAGGATACGTAAGGATTCTACGGCAAGAGACCTTAATAAGTACTCAAGCAAGGATACGTAGGGATTCTACAGCAAGAGACCTTAATAAGTACTCAAGCAAGGATACGTAAGGATTCTACGGCAGGAGACCTTAATAAGTGCTCAAGCAAGGCTACGAAAGGATTCTACAGCAAGAGACCTTAATAAGTACTCAAGCAAGGCTACGAAAGGATTCTACGGCAAGAGACCTTAATAAGTACTCAAGCAAGGATACGTAAGGATTCTACGGCAAGAGACCTTAATAAGTACTCAAGCAAGGATACGTAAGGGTTCTACGGCAAGAGACCTTAATAAGTACTCAGGCAAGGATACGTAAGGATTCTACGGCAAGAGACCTTAATAAGTACTCAAGCAAGGATACGTAGGGATTCTACAGCAAGAGACCTTAATAAGTACTCAAGCAAGGATACGTAAAGATTCTACTTATTCAAGGATACGCAAGGATTCTACTTAGGCAAGGATTATACTGCAAGAGACCTGGATAAGTACTCAAGCAAGGACACGGAAGGGAATAGGGACCTGGATAAGTACCCTAGGACGGCTATTAGAATTATTCATACAATGTATCACTCACCTGGGATGGATGTGTCTTCTGTCGTTGTCCGGCACTGACTGTCTCTTCTCACTCGTTGATCTCCCTTTTATAGCAAGCCCCAACCACGTGTTCTAGCGTGAGATAACGGGAACTTGTTTTGATCAACTTGTCACAACAACATTGGCTGTGATCATCACAACCAATGGCTGTGATGTGTGAGAATAACGATAACCCCTTGTATTTTGTTGTTTTCTTTTAACCGAGACAAATGAGAAAGTTGAGTTTTAGAATATTTATTTATTATTAAAGAACAAATAACACTGCAAGGTGTGAGCAAAATTGAGTGCCACGATTTTTGGTCGTCACACTTCCCCCTTCCCTGGGGTGGGGTCCTCTTGACCGCGAGGAATGACCGTCACATTGCCCTTCCGGCCAACCAATATCCGCAACCTCTTTCCGCGAACTTCCACGACTCTCTTATATTGGTTGCCTGGTCTATGTAGCGCTAAGGCTGCTTCCAAGTGCGGCTGAAGTTCTCTGTCCGTATCCGGAGATAGCGCTCTTGCGCAGACGAACTCCACCCTCTTCTCTGCTGCCTTTGGTATGACCACCACACTCTTCAACCTCGGTTTGTCTCCCGTGCCTTCCACTGCTTCCGGAACAGCCAACGGTCTCGGGTATTCGGGTTTTGGGAGCCCTTCCAATATTTGCCGGAGGTAGGCAACATCACTCCCTGGACTACCGACGATTGTGCTTCCAAGCGAGGGGCCGCTAGGTGAGTTAGCCTGCATGCCGCGGCCGGGGGTTATAGGGAGCCCATTTGGTTTAGCAGGAACCGGGCTCGCCAGCAACCAACTCCAATCGTCATGGGGTGTTGTTCCCCGCCGAATTCCTTGTTCAGACTGTGGCGAAACCACCGGGGACGGGGTGCTTGGTCTTGAGCTCCTCTCTCTCCCTGGCCTTGGCGGGGTATTCAGATCGTCATCCGAGGAAATATACACCACCTCCGGTGCAGCGAGCTCGGCGGTGATCCCTCGGTTGCGTAAAATCTCGAGGGCTCGGGAGACTTCGTTTGGCCTCGGGTAGGGCTGTGCCTTTAATTCTCTCATTATCTGGAGAATGACCTGGGGTGTTAAGCGGTTCAAGCGGACCTCGCAAACTTTGGTGATTGGCCAATCACCACCCTGCTTCTGTGCTGCCTTGGTTTTCATGGTTTAATCTGTAGATGACAAAGAAAAATGGGAAAACGTTAATTTATCACGAACGGTTTGAGTTCACTAAGATGGGCAACACGGGTCGAACGTTTGTCGGGTCCTCGTATTCTAACTATTACTGGCGACACGAATTCTATCACTTCGAATGGCCCATCGTATTTTGGTGCCAGCTTGGCAGCAAACTGATCAATTGCCTTGGACTGTGGGTGCTGCTTTACTAGTACCTTCTCCCCAACTACCGGTTTCCAGGGCCGCCGACGAAGATTATAGTGCCGACGCTGTTCCTCAGCCGCCAGACTGAGTTGGTTCCGGACTATTTTAAAAACTTCTTGTAAGTCGTTCGCTCTCTCCTCAGGTGTTTTGGGGGTGTGTCCTGTACCAGGGACAGCTTCGTCGTAGAGTGCTTTTGGCAATCTAGGTTCACGGCCTTGTACTAAATACGCAGGACTATATCCGGTCGACTCAGAAGTCGCCGTATTTATCGCCAGGGATATTTCCGGTAAGAAGTCGTCCCACCGATTGTGCTTATTCTGGCATACCTGAGCAATCATTGTTTTCACCGTTCTGTTGGCTCTTTCGGTCGGATTTTCTTGTGGGCAATACGGTGCGGTTAGCTGGTGGTGCACTCCGATTTCATCCAAGTATTTCCTAACAACTCTGCTTGTAAATTGACTGCCGTTGTCCGATATAAGGATTTTTGGGGTTCCAAAGCGAGCAAGGATTCTTTCACGGAACGCCTTCACTACCCCTTCCGCAGTCGCTTTTCTCTGTGGTATCAGTTCCACCCATTTGGAGAAACGATCGAAGAAAACCAGGAGCATCGTGTTCCCATGTCTAGTTCGTGGTAAGGGACCTACGTAGTCCGTACAAACAGTGGCCCATGGCTCCTCGGGAACCGACACCAACATTTCTCCTGCCGGCGCGACCTGATACGGTTTATAGCGTTGACAGGATTCACAACTCCGAACAAATCTGGTGATGTCCCTTGTCATTCCCGGCCAGTAATATCTGCTGCATATGCGGTTGATTGTCTTGCGAATTCCCATATGGCCT